TATACCTGTCATCTTCCCATCCCTTTGTCCACCCGTCACTTCATCTATTTTTGATGCATTTCACAGTTGCAGACATCAGTCCACTACTCCCTGAGTAATTTGGCATGCATATCATTAGCATATGATTAAATAATTTGATATTTGTCTATTTTTTCTTTTGAAGTAAAATTTACAATGACTTGCATAAAACCAAAGGATGCATTTGCTGAGTTTTGACAAGTGCACACGTCTGTGTGACTAGGACCTCTTATTGAGGTCTAGAGCATTCTATTCACTGTGTGATCAGCACAATAATGGCCCCAAGGATGTCCACATCCTGATCCCCAGAGTTTGTGAATGTGTTATCTTACATGGCAAAAGGGATTTTGCAGATGGGATTAAATGAAGGATCTTGAGATGGGGAAATTATCCCAGATTATCCCTGTGGATACACCAGGCAACTGTTTACACAATCGGCCCTCCCTGTCAGCAGGCTCTACCTCCACAGTTTCAACCAACTGCGGATTGAAAATATGAAAAAAACCCACTTTAAGAAAATTCTAAGACGCCAAAGTTAAATTTGCTGTGCACAGGGAGGAGGGTATAGCTCAGTGGTAGAGTGCATGTTTAGCATGCGTGAGGTCCTGGGTTCAGTCCTCAGTACCCCCGCTTAAAAAAAAAAAAAAGAAAAAAGAAACATAATTACCTTCTTCCCCCCAAAATAGCTTAAAAACAAAATATAAAAAAATTGCGGTGCATAGCTAGCTATTTATGCAGTATTGACATTGTATCAGGTATTGTAAGCTGTCTAGAAGTGATATGTGTATCATTCGTGCATAGGTCAGGTACAAATACTTTGCCATTTTATGTAAGAGGCTTAAGCATCATCGGGTTTTGGTATCCAAAGGGGTCCTGGAGCCAGTACCCCCAGGATACCGTGGGACGACTGCAAATAACCACAGGGCGTCAGGGATGATGATAACAGAAGCAAGGACAGCCCCTTCCCTGTCCGTCATTAGCGGGAGGTGTTCAGAGGTGGCCACCAGGGTCAGCTGCACCTGGGTCAGTTACATGCCTATGGTCACAGAACCTGACTCAGCCTGCTTTACTCCATGAAGAGATTTATTAGTTTACGGAACAAATAGCCCCGAGCCAGGCAGCCTCCAGCCTCGGGATGATCGGCACCCCCCCACCCCGCCCCGCAGGGTTTCCTCTCCTCTCACTGGCCAAGGCGGGTCACATGCCCGGTCTCTGACCCAGTCAGCGGCGAGTCATTCGCACTCGTCCTGACAGCCTCTGTGATCGTAGGTCTTACTTCCTAACCAGCAGTTGTTTTAAATATGTTGCTATTACTCTCGTGGCCTGGACTTCTATTTTATGCCGACAGCTAAGAGGAATAAGAAATTACACAAATTCTAAAAAGAAAAGAAAAAAGAAAAGAAAAGAAAAGAAAAGAAAAAAATTACACACGTTCTAATAGGATCTTCAGAGACTTATGTGGGTCACCAAATGCTAGAAGTAAAAAATAAAATTAGACTTTGGGTGAGGCATTTCTAGAGCAGGGATCTGCAAATGTTTTCTGTAAAGGACCAGAGAGTAAATATTTTCATTTTCCACTTTGCTGGCCCCTCTGCAGCAACTAGTGGAATCGGCCCTGGAAGGTGGGACGCGGCTGTCGGCCACATGTCAGCGTATGGGCGTGGCTATGTCCCAATAAAGCTTTATTTACAAGGACAGGTGGTGGGCGGGGCCTGGCCCGCAGGCAGGCTGTGTTGCTGGGGCAAGTATTACTGTTAGAGCTAAATTAGAAAGAGCAAGGCGAGCTCGCAGTTGTTGAAACGTTACTTCTACCTGACCACTGAAGTAGACTTTCATCAGTTTTCCATCACAAATCTGTGTGCAGCAATCAGAGCCGGGCCCACCATGTCCAGAATGGTTCGTCAGGACTTTCCCCACTCCTAGAATGAGGGCTCATTGGAGAACTGCCGGTTTTATGTTTCAGGGCAGGGAAGGTGCCCATGGACGGGGAATATCTCGTTACCAGAGAGAAGGGATGCTCTTCCTAAAGTTCCCCGGGGTGCTGAAGGCCCCCAGGGGCCTCCTTGCAGCTATCCCTCATCAAAAATGATTCGTCAATGTCCAGTTCAGGAGACGACTCGTTTGAATGCCATGAATTCATAATAATCCTCAAAAGACGAGATTCAGGATTTTCCGTCTTTATCAAGCCGCTAGTTCTCTCCCCGCAGCCTGATTCTGTTAGGATGTACTGTTTTTTCGCATCCCCACATGAAAAGGCCGACATTCCCTCGCCAAATGATGTAAAAAGATTCTATCTTTGGAAAAAAGGTAATAAATAAATACACTGAAGTGTCATGACTGGTTACTTTTGAGTAGTCAGGTGATAGAGGGTACTCGTGTTCTTTTCCTGTATTTTCCTGGCATTTCTAAGTTCCTGGTTTTATTATTTTTTTCCTTCTGTTTTATGAGGGGGAGGTAATTAGGCTAATTTATTTATTTATATTTGGAGGAGGTGCTGGGGTTGAACCCTGGACCTCGTGCATGCTAAATAAGCTTGCGCCCTCCCACTGAGCTACGCCTACCACCACTCCCCGCGTTTATTTTTATATACTACTTTTAGAGTGAAAAAAAAAGTCTTTGGAAAACAATGTATCTCCTGGTTGGGGACATGTTTGTTCGTGGTTATAACATTGTACTGTCTGGCCTTCAGTAAGTGCCTCACCCCGAGGAGCAGGGGCAGCGGGCCGGCAAGGTGGGATCTTATAAACTCTAGAGGCCAAGCGCATGGGACAGGAGAACTTCCTGTGAGGTGGGGCTGGAAGGTGTTGAGCCGGGAGGGCTGGTGCAGTCTGCAGAGCTGGGTCCTTACCCCTGGGGTAGAGGATGTCCCCAGATGAAGGGGTCTGGCTTTCAATGAGGGGGTCCCTGGAGGGCTTTAAGCAGAACTTCCAGAGACCTGGTTTAAGCTGGGAGGAGACTAGATTTTAAAACGTGTGAGGAAGGGTAGGTGGTTGGGGCTGGGGGTTGTAGGGAGAGGGCTGGGCAGTTTTAGATGACGATGGAGGAGGAGTGGGGCCTGCGCCCCTGCAGAATTCCAGGAGGACCATGCAAAATGAAAACACGGGGCCCCTTACTAAAAAATTATTACACATTTCACGATGGTGACAGCAGAGTAGTAAATTAAGTGCAGAGGCTACACGCTGGTGAAGGTGGGCCTCATGGGGCTCTGGGGAGGGGCGGGCTCAGGGTCTGCTTTGGAGGTAAGAACCGGCCCAGGAATCGGGCAGAGACTGGAAGCCGAGATGGACTGTCTTGCCTGGGGCTCTCCTGGGTGTCCACGGAGAAATCCCTCACGCAGAAATCCCTTCTCCATGATACCAACCAGGCCCGAGACCCCTGGGGGTCTCCACCACTTTTGAGATGCTAAATTATCACAGGTGTTACTGAAGTCCCAGGCACAGGAAGGGGCTGGAGGAGGGCCCCACGTGTGCCTGTGGGGCCAGGTCTGTGCTGACCAGCTGCTGACCCCTCACGCCCCCCATCTGCCCAGCTTCGTGCATCTCTGCGACTTGAAAGAGGCTCCCCCAACCCCTGCCCCGCCTATTCATTTCCTGACCCTGAGTCACTGGTCAGCAACCCTTCCTCCAGGAAGCCCTCCCTCAGGCTGCCCCCTTGCAGCCCTGAAGTTGTAACCCCCCTACAACCTTCAGGCTGCATCTCCAGGTTGCGACCCCCAGGTTGTTCCAGGGACTCCTTTTTCTGCCCCTAGTTCCATGTGCCTCCTCAACAAAACAGTCAGGCCATAAGCCACGGTGGGTGCAGCAGCTTTTCGGGGTTCCAGCTCTGTCCACCCCAGGCAGCCAGACCCGGCCCAGAGAAGGGCCCTGTGTGTCTGCTGAGTCTGGGTGCACCGAGCACCCCCTGCACTCGGAGGCAGTCTCTGGGATTGTGCCTTGAGCCCTCTGTGCAGTGGGGTCCCCTCCACTGGGCAGGCAGACCACTTGGGGCTGGGGGCTGGGGTCCAGGATCCCACGTCTGGAGTTTGGACTCTGGAGTCAGATCTGGATTTGGGATTGGGGGTCCTGGGTCAGAGATCGGGATCTGAGTTTCATGGACTGGGGTTGGGTTCTGGGTTTGGGGATCTGAGGTCTGGAGTTTGGGATCCAGAGCCTGGGGTCTGAGGTCTGGGGCCCCCCGGGACTGAGGATCTAGGATCTGGGGCTGGCGATCTGGAATCTGAGGTCAGGGGTTTGAGGTTTGAGGTCTGGGGTTGCAGTTCCTGGTCTGGGCTCTAGTGTGTGGGGTCCAGGGTTTGAGGTTGGCGATTTAGAATCT